TCTCTCTCTCTCTCTCTCTCTCTCTCTCTCTCTCTCTCCCTCTTTTTCTCTCCCTCTCCGTCTCTCTTATTTCTTTTCTCTTTTGCTTTTATAAATAAACTTATACAAGATACATGATTTTCCTCATCCTATCATTCAATCAGCTGTAACTGTAGCGAAGTCATAGTCCGTCATGGTCAGATGTAAAAATAGGTCTGATTACAGCAATTACTGTAATTGAGTTACCACTTCTGGCACAATAAAATGTCAACACGGTAATTGTCAATAACTAGACATAGAAATGTTATCGGTGGGACGAGTCCTTCTTTAGCGCTGCTGCTATAGTTTAACTAATTCTTTCGGAGAATACAAATCAGACCATGAAACGGAGACGATAGAAATGAGAAATCCTTTAAATTCTTCATATTATGGCTACCGTGACCTGAAATGAACGTTAACAAGTAAGAAAATTATATTCGGTCGTGACTGAATCTTTTATACCCATCACCGTTACCCTAAAAAAGACAAACAAGGTAAAATAACTACATTCTCCTATTTTAGCGTACGGGCGTTATAGGCTTGCGACATCTTCATTTTCGCTAACGGAAGAAATGTTTACCACATATACTGCATGGTTGGACAGACGGATAGATGGACAACAAATAGACGGACAGACATACTTAGGTGCGTTCCAGATTGGAAACTAGCCAAGAATTTATATACTTTATGGGCTTGTTTGTGCTTCTTATAAAGGTATTGAAAAAAAATCAAATTTTGTTACGTTACAATATTGGGAAGGCGCGGTCAATTTTTTTATATTTTTATACAGGTACGGTGTTAGGCATAGAATATATATTTAAATTTTTGTACATTTACCGGCTTTAGTTTATGAGTAGTGAGGAAGAAACTAATTCCTTGATTCTTTTTTAACAACAAAAGTGTTCCCAATCTACAGGGCTCTGCAGGCATGTCCTTCGACGGATTTGACGCATTTTCAATGCCGACCTGCGTGCAAAAATTTCCAATGTTTTCAGCAAATTTGAAGTCGATAGCTTCATTCTTTTGGCCAGAAGAATGTTTACAGCAGACAGACAGACGGACATACTTAGATCGATTTAGCATTTGATGCGGTTCAAGAATATATATACTTTTTGGGGTCTCTGATGCTCCCTTCTCGGCTTTGCAAACGTGGCGACACAGTGGCAACGCGCATCCTTCGTTGATGTGCATAAAAAATTACACGCTCTATGCGAGAAATGAGCAAATTCGAATGCGACCATTTTGAATTATTTCTATTCCTTTTGGACATTACAACACTAGTAAGCTGCTTGTCATTGGACAATAAGGTCCAAAAAAAAGCCGTGTTGTGCGAATTAGTATTATGCGAAACAAAGGACTAGTATGAAAAGGAGAGTTAGGCTCAAAAAATTTTCATAATTAAGATAATTATTTTTATTATAATTTGACTATTAATATAAATTAGAAAATGTTTTCTTCTTCACCAAACTAAAGTTTGGTTTTATAATGTTCATTACATTTCATGTTTCGCCAATTTCCTCACTCTGTGTTAAAGTGAATCCGTGCTGCAGTAGTACTGTTTTATATAGGGATATTCCCAATTCTTGAACCGTGGGTGAGTCCGTGTTATAGTGGTGCCGTATTATTCGAATCACTTTCTATAATGTGCGCCCGTGTCGCAAATTACATCCAACTGTCTCATGTATGTTAAACTCAAGAATCCAAAATGGACAGAGGGACAGGCAAGCTTAGATAGACATAATAGGAGATAGGTCAATCTCAAGTCCTTTCGGGTGTGTCACACTTCCGCAGAAATATCGTTAATATACACTTCTATCAAACTTGGTATAGGATATAAAAGATAGATAAAAAAGTTCTATTCGCTTTAAGGGAAACCTTGGATATCCCCAACTTCAAAGTTGTCCGCTTAAACAGCTGTCGGTTAAACAGCTTAGAGGACTATATGACTCTGAGAAAAACGTGTCAAATATTTACTTACTTCTACCCTTTATCATAATAAGATTTGGAATGAAAAATGTCCAAACCTGAAATCTTTTGGAAATTTTTTTAGAGGCAGCGAAAAGCAATCCAAAAGCTTCCATATCTTACGAAGCAGGTAAGTCTTAATTAATTAAAACGAATTGGTTTATTCTTTATTCAATTTATTCTAAATAATTTACTCTTCTTTTAAACATAAAATCGTTTGACAACAACTTATATAATATAACATAAAGATATTTTAAATATGAAATTTTTCTGATAAATAATTAGAGAACTTAAACTATATTAATTAATTTTAATTAAATTGCAAAACAGTGTCGAAAAGAAAAAGTTGAAAAACGAAAGAGAAGCCGAATTCATTCACATAGGCGTGCCTGGTAACCGACAAAAATCATTTTCACGTTCCCATGTCGCGGGGTGCAGCATAATGTTAGGACAAAGTTTTAAATCGATACTGTGGACTCTCTCTCTCTCTCTCTCGCTTTTACTTATTATACATTTAACTCTGAGCGAACCACGCCCATTTTTCAGTTTAATGTGACCTTTAATTGAAAATAAATACACTTTGTTTTCGTTCTTTTTTTCGGAATTTTTTGAATGGTAGGCAACAATCGAACCACGCCCATTTTCCGATTCGATGTGACCTTTATTTGAAAATATCTACACTTTGGTTTCGTTCTTTTTTTTTGCACACTCTGGAATGATAGGCAAGAACTGCAGACAACAGATAGATAAACGAGAGGAAAGAGAGACGGACGTGACAAAATAAGCAAACAAATTTTAGACAAATTTTAGTGTCTCATGTGACTTCCCCTATGTTCATCTTTATATAGTACAAATGAAAGGACAGATCTAGCCTTATTATTTTTAGTACAGTGCTATAAAATAAATTAATTCTCAAAAAGAAGAAGAAGAAAACAAAAAAGAAATTAGAAATTTTTCAACGCTTAAACTAAATTTTTTTTTTTTTGTTTAAATATTTTAAATTTATTTTGCATTGTTTACTTTACGCTCTATGGGTTTGTGTGTGTATGTAAAAGGATTTTCAAAACTAAGGCAATATTTCTATTCGTTTATTTTTTTCAATTACTTTTTTATATATACTTTTATTAATTAAAATTGTACTATGTTTACTGATGGTTACTATAAAAATTTTTGTTGGTTACTGCAAGTTGTCTTCCATAAGAAATTTTGTGCTTTCAACATGACATGCGTTTAACATGCCTTAAAAGCGATCCCATGGGTTTGTGTGTGTTTGGGTGTGTGGATGTGTGTGCATGATTGTGCACTTAATTAGCTAAGAAGGAAGACACTTGGTTGGTGTTGTACAAAGAGTACGAATCTATAAATATATTTTAGTACTAGTCTTGAAGTTGAACGGTTTTCCTTTTCTTATTTTGTTTTTAATGTAAATAAATTACAATAAATTTTAAAATTAATATTTTTCTTTTTTTTTATGATTATATATTGAAAGCTTTGCTTGTCATTGCTTAAATTTAAAAAAAAAAGTCCTTTTGGGGGGCAGGCGAGTGTAATTATTCATTTCTTTTGCTAGTTATTTTCCTAATTTTTATTTTCCTCTTTTTTTTTTTTATTATTTTTATAAAAATTTATTTTAACTTATAATCAAAATTCAAATACTTTTCTGTGTACTCTTTGCTCGAATGTCTCAAGTCTCAAGTTTGTCCACACTATTCATCATCATCATCATCATCATCATTATTAGTTGCCGGGTGTTACCATTTACGTTGTTTGTGTTACATCCTGTGCTGTCTGCGGCAGCACATATGTTTTACAATTTTTCTTATTCGAAAATAAATCTGATACATAGTTCGCCTGCAAAGAAAAATCAAAAAGCGAATTAAGATAAACACAAAATCCTAAAGGTATGCTTTAGAAAAAGTACTATTTGAATAGAGCGTAAAGTTTTCATTTATCAAGCACAGTAAACAAATTACAGAGGTTTCCATTACTTTCCCACAGGCTTTGCATTTTAACAGAGGTTTTCATTATTGCGTACTTATGCGCTCAAATTAATGGAATTGTAGAATTACGCGATTTATGTTTGATGCAAAAATTTACAGCTTCATTTTGCAGATATAAGTTAGGTTGAAAAACGTATTATTTCTTCTTTTAAGGGTTTACACCACTATGTAATATGGGCAATAAAGATATTTTAATTCGTAGAAAAGGTAAGCTTGTGAAGTTTAGCAATTTTCTCTTCTGTCTAATATCTATTAGCAATAATTCTTGTTATAGGTTAGGTTAGAAAGTTCATTATTTCTTAATTTAAGGGATTACACTGCTATTTAATATGGACGACATAGATATTTTAACGCCTAGAGAAGCTAAGCTTGTGAAGTTCAGGCTTTTTCTCTTCTGTCCAATACCTACTAACTATAATTCTTGGTATAGGTTAGCTTAGAAAGTTGATTATTTCTTAATTTAAGGGATTACACTGCTATTTAATATGGACGACGTAGATATTTTAACGCCTAGAGAAGCTAAGCCTGTGAAGTTTAGGAATTTTCTCTTCTGTCTAATACCTACTAACTATAATTCTTGGTAGCTTAGAAAGTTGATTATTTCTTAATTTAAGGGGTTACACTGCTATTTAATATGGGCGACATAGATATTTTAACGCCTAGAGAAGCTAAGCCTTAGGCGTGTTTTTAATCAAACCATTCTTTTCCATTCTATCAGTTCTTCCAATCTCCTCTTGGTTTCGTGGAATTTGAAACTACAGTCTTAAAATATGATTTTTCAGTTATCAACTGGCCATTTTTTCGACTTTGACGTCGATTTTCGCAGCAATTTAAGAAAAAAAGAAAAACTAAACTAAAACTGCTGCCATTGTCTTTTAATCCTAATGCGTATATGATGAGTCTTTGGGGCTCATTTATATTGTGAGCTGAAATTTTTTGCTTATTTCATAATGCATTACCAAAAAATTTTATTTTAGATTGGGTGTTGGTCATGATATCAAACGAATTCTACCACGATGCGTTTCATAGGCTCACTGTCTGAAAGTAGCCTCGTATTTTGGCGGATGGCCGCGCACGATGCAGAATTTGAGATGTATAGTGGAATTATGTGGCTGTTTACGAGCTGTGAACTGAATTAAAGTAAGAAACCTCAAAAACATTATACGATGGAAAATTATATATTTATTTAAATAATGTTTTTGGAAATTATCAAATGTAATGTTGCGGTTAATGTTCTGTTCTGTTGGTGTGAACAGTTTCTGAACGCATCTTTGTGATAGATTTTTGGCCCATTGGGTTGTTTTTTCCCAAGATAAGGACGGGATTCTTTTCTGATTATGAGACAGGCAGACACACCTGTACGGACTAGGGCCAAATCAATTTTTCAGATATTGAGCCTACTTTTAGAAGAGATTATTGTTTTAAGTAACAGAGGCCACAAAAAAAAGAAGACAGCTTTACGAGTGTTGTTCTTAACAAATCCGAAAAAAAAATTTTTTTTAAAGGCCTTTCATATTCAAACGCCTGCGTACAAATAAATCTTTTAAACTTTTTTTTTTTTAATTTAAATTTATAACAAGTAGGACATACATATTCATAACAATCACTATGTTTTTCCCATTCTACTCACTACTACACTGTCAAAATAATTCATTTTAAATTTGGTTGTTTGTTTAAAGAACGTCCGCAGTGCATCAATTCACACATTATTATATAGAGATAAAGGGATCTTGCCATTTCGAAAGCTTTGAAAAGTCCTCTTGATTGGACCAAGTTTATCAACCGATATAACTATAGCTTCTGCATGTCGGTTATAAAAACCGACTGACCCGCAATAAAGTTTTTATGGACATTCTTGATTCCGATTTTATAACCTAAATTCAAATATGGGCCAATGCATCAAAGCAATTTTAGAATTAGATCACCTGAGCATAACGAAATTAAAGTTAATTTCCATTTTTCTCTAAAAACTTTAGTCCTTAATTAAGATTGAATCGAAAATAATTAATTTTAATAAAATTGCAAACACCTTAGTTGAACCCGATCCACTATTAAATACCTTACACAATTTCGCTCGACACTTTTATTCAAATACGAAATTTTCAAAGCAAGTTGTCATACTAGAAATGGTCGAAAAAGTAGTCAGATGCTTACCATTATATATAATAGCGTTCGTTCTTGGGCCAAAACAGGTCGTTGGTCGAAAAAAAGTAATCAGAATGGACAGACAAACACAGACCGATCAGTCGTTCGAAATCGGGATAATAAAAGGTCCTTTCGGATGCTAAATACATCCGCGTATAGGAACGTTATGTTCCCTTTAAGAAAAACTCTTCCAAGGAGACTTTCAAAATTTTCCATTTAAGCGCGGGATGTTAGCTACGTTAAACAAGACTGCACTGTATAACCCATGCCAAACATTGACTTAGTTTTTCGTTCTTTACTTGATCGTAGTCAGGCGTAGGACTAGGCATTACAAACCTAATCTGAGGACTTCATTTCAAATGTTTTAAGTTTTAGCTTTCGCGAGTACCATGAAAGAAATGACAAAGGCGAAGAGAAACGAGAGCGGGTGCGGTTAAATGTTTTCGTAGTAATGACCAAAAATTTTAAACATTTCAAGCTTATTTTCGTCTGGAATAGTACACCTAATGCACTGTCTACGTCTTTTGAAATTTTTCATTGTTTCTTAAAGGATTTACAAGTTTCTTGAAAGCAAACCAATTTTCCCATTTTTGGATCAATTTTTATAACATTGAAAGACAGAAGATAAACATTAACAATTTTCAATGCGAAATAGTGGAACATAAGCATAAGCATACATAGATGGAAAAGAAGTTGAAAGGAAAAATAGAAGCAAAAGCTAACTTACGCGGAGGCAAATCGAATGATAAACGTAAGGATAGAGAGATTTATGGATGCATAGATGTGAAGTTGAATGTACGTAATGGGGAGTTGACGTTAAAACTCACAAATGACACGGCAGAGAGGTGAAAGAATGGAGAGGGAATGAGAATACTGAGCATATCATAAAGAAGATATGCGCAAAGGCGAACATATGGAAGACTAAGCAGAGATAAGACAAGTTGTAGAACAGGGCATAGGCAAATTGATGGAAGATCATGTGATATAAGGGAACACAAATCGTAGAAAAATTAGATGAAGAGATAGGTAGTAGCAGAGAAGAATAGGTAGGCAGGCAGGGAAAGATGGACATATATAGCGTAGCACACACATAAAGCGGGCCGAACAAGTAACAAGTAACAAATAACATTCAAACATACAGTTTGGCATACTTTAACTCAAAAAACTAAAAAGCTAAGCCAGAAGGCGGGTAACCCGAAGAACTCTCGCTGTCAAAGGGGTATCGAGAAAGAGAAATGGGAACTCAAGGATACATTGACTTTACAGTGGAGGCACTGATGGTACAGCTTTCCGAAAAATAACGGATATGGGGACTGACGGATATAATGCTAGCGTAAAAGTGTTTAACCAATGTTACAACAGGCAGATGTGGAGGCTGATAGAGGTAACGCGAGCGTAAAAGTGGCGAAAACGAAGAATGGACATATATAAAGGCGTAAAGGCCTTAAGAGTTGAGAATACATCGACTTCACGGTGGAGACACTGAAGAAGGCCGATACGTAGTGGTGAAATCCTTCCGAGAACGAGCGGAAATGGAGACTGACGGATATAATGCCGACTTAAAACTGCCTAATGGAAGTTACGTCCTTAAGAAAACCGAAAGCCGAGTGAAGAAGAACCAGATGCGTGACAGATCTAACGCTACGCATTTACATAAAAGCGAAAAGGTCTTAGGACTTGGGGATATTATGATTTTTCAGTGAAGAAACCAAAAAAAAAGCAATATGTACTTAAAATCGAAAGTCTTTGGAAAAAAGGCGGAAGTGGAGCTTGAAAGATGTGACCCTAGGGTTAAAGTGGCCAACCGTAGTTGAGCCATTAACAAGAGTGAAACCTGAATGAAGAAGAGACGCATATGGAAGGTAACGAATGTAAAGACAAACATACGTGGAAGCCGACAACTCTCATATCTAAAAGAAGGAAGAATAGGTGAATGCATGTTGAACAGAAAAGAATTCCTAATGCTGATCCAGGAAACAATCTCAAAGATTTCTTATGGGCACTTTTATGCGTTCCGCATGGAGTAGCCAAATATATTGAATATATTTTCTTTCTTATTGACAATCGCAAATTCGCATAAGAAACTGTGTTGCCATCGTTCATAAATAAATTTTATTAAACTTGAAATGTTTCAGTTAATTGCTCCTTTGCTTAAAATCTCTTTTTTACATCATTATTAAAGCAAAGACTAATGACTGTATTGCTGCATGTTTTGAAATGAAATTGCAATAAAAAAAAAATAAATAAAAAAAAATGGGGGAAAAAAAATGGGGGAAAAAAAAGAAAAGAAAAGAGAGAAGCGAACAAATTTGTAGTCTTTGAAATTACAAAATTTCACACCTAAGAGAATTTATAGCCTTCGGACCATACTTTGACACAGACAGTACATTAAAATGTTACATCTGCGTAACGTACGCAATATCATGGCCGTATCTCGACAACGAAATCTCTGTCAAATGCAACAAAATATTCGAATAGCTGTTGTTGCTGCTGCTCGATGCTATAGCACCAAGATCACCTGCTGCTATTGATTTAATAGTCAGATGATATCATAAAAAACATTGAAAATTTCATTTCCATTTTTTATGGCATTTTTCCTTTTTTCTCTTCTTTTTCTTCTTTTTTTTTCTTAAACTCTAATTTCGGTTGAAATGATTGGAGGGAAAACAAAATATAAAGGCATACACACAACTGAAGGTGTTATGCTAATAATAGCGTTTTGTTATTGCAATTTTTAATGCATTTCAACTTTTATACGAATATCTTTACAAAAGCGAAACATTAGAGAAGGAAAGAAAGCATGTGATAAAAAAAAAAAAAAAAAAA